AAAAAAAAAAAAAAAAAAAAAAAAAAAAAACTGTCCAAGTAAAAAATAGTAAAAATTTATAACAAAAAAAAAATGTAATTAAAAATAAAAGACTTTTCACATAAAAAAAATATCATCTAATATAAATTACTAAAAATATATTTATAAAAAATATTATATTTTTCTTATTATAACAAATATTTATGTCTTTATTATAAATCTTAAATTATACACTTTATTAATTTTATAAGTTATTTATAAAAGTAGTAAAAAATTATTTATTTTGTAATGATAAAAATAATTTAACAATTAAATTAGTAAAATTATTATATTTAGAACTAGAAGAATGGTCTATTTAAATTTTAAAAAAGAATGTACTTAAAATATTAGTATATTATAATATTAAGGAAAAAATGAATTAATTCTAAGTGTTTTATTGATTTAATTCAATAATTAAATATTGATAAAAGTAATTTTTTTTTTTTTTATTTGAATTATTATCAATATTTAAATAATAACTGTTTTGTTCATTTATTTTTTTTATATCAAATTCATTGTCACTAACACTATATGTGGAATCTGAGAAAATTTCTATATCTTCAGTTGGAAATTCAATAATTGCTCCATTTTTTATTTTTTCATTTATATTTTCTTTATTAATTAAATTATGTTCCTTTTGATCAGAAATATGTTCCACATTTATCGTATTTTCTTTTTTTATTTTAACATTTAAATTTTCTTCACAATTTATATTTGAGCCCTTCAACTTACTATAATTCATATTGATATTAAAGAAATCTAAATTTTCAAATGTTTTATTATTAAAAATGTAATGATATTTTTTTTGTTTTAATAAAGTTTTATAGATATAAAGATAAAAGTTATCACTAATTAAATTTTCATCAATGTAAATGATGTTATGGCAATTATAAGATAAATTAGTTTGATCTATTAAATTGATAAAATACTTTACATTAGTTTTCAAAATAATAATATTGTTATATATACTTACCTCACAAGGTGTAAGATATGAAGTATTTGGAATAATAAGAGAAAAATTATTATTTTTATAAAAGTATTCTAATATATATAAAATATCAACACTATTATTAGTTCTACTCATTATGCTTAATAGGAAGAAACTTAATAAGAAATTTCTTATGTCATTCTTTAGATTTTTATTTAGTAACTTATATAATAAGAATAAAATAGTTTCAAAACCCAAACTACCATTATATACACTCATATTAAATGAAAATACGTCTCTTGTAACATCTTTAATACACTGTTTTATATCAGGATAATAATTTTTGCTTTTTATTTTTCTTAAAATTTTTAAAAATAAATATTTATTTTTTAATAAATGCTGTTTATATATAAGTAATGATTTTTCTTCTGAAGCATTTTCTATTGTCTCATTTTTATTTTTAAAGCTGACATTTATGCATTCTAAAATGATTTTTAGTATTTCCTCATCATAAAACTTTTTTTTTAGATTTAGTAAAAAAATTAAATTATTTAAGATACTAATTTGTATTTTTTCTGCATTAATTTCAGTTTTTTTATACTCATTTTTTATGTTAAAAATTGAAAAATAATTAATAACGTTTTCATAAGGCATTGTACAATTATCAAGTTTAAACATATTTAAACATAAAAAATCTCCACCTTTATTTTCTTCATTAAACTCATTTTCTATATCATTTAAATCTGCTGTCAATTTTTCAATATTCATTTTGTCGTATTTTAAAAAAAAATAGTAATAAAAATAGTTAAAATATTATGTATACACATAAAATTATTGGTTCTTTTATTATTCATTTGGATAAAAAAAAAGTGTTTTAATAAAATAAAAGTTGTACGAAAAAAAAAAAAAAGAAAATTATAAAAATTCAATTTTCATAATGAATAAAAAAATCAATTTTACCTTTTTTTTTTTTCTTTCTCTTTAAATGAGAAACAAATATTTAAATTAATGATTTATATACTTTTAATATTTAAAAAAATTAAAAACAATAAAAAAAAAGAATAAAGAAAATTTTCATTAAATTATATTAATTTTATTTTTAAAATGAGTATTCAATGTGTTTTTTTTTTTTTTTTTTTTTTTTATTTTTTTTTTTTTTTTTTTTTTCTTTTGTATTAGAAACTATAATTTTTTATGTATTTTTTAAATGATTCCTTGTATTTATTGCNTTTTTTTTTTTTTTTTTTTATTTTATTTTTTTTTTTTTTTTTCTTTTGTATTAGAAACTATAATTTTTTATGTATTTTTTAAATGATTCCTTGTATTTATTGCTTTTCATATATTTTGTTGTGCTAATTTTCAATTTGTATTAATTTTTAAATCTCTAGTTATTTTTTTTATCTCTTTTAATTTAATATATATGTTCTTATTTTTCTTTTAAATTAAAAATAATTAAATTTTTATTCCATTATAACTACATTTATTATTCTCCTATTTTATTTATTTTTTTTTTAAAGTATGTAATTGTATCTTTTTATATATTTATAATTTTTTTTTTTTGCCATTATTTATTATATATATATATATATATATATATATATGAAGATTTTATTTTTTATTCTTCTTAATTATCATTAAAGGATTTAAGAATTTCATTATCAGAAACGTCAATAACTTTTTCTTGAATATCATCACAATCGTATTCAATTGATTCTACATAGGTATCAAATAAACTATACTCTGAGTAAATTGAACTAAACCTAAACCCATTAGCTCCGTCAATTATTTTTAATAATTTAAGAACACTATATTTATCTTGTATATCTAATAAGGCAAAATTTATTAAGTTATAATCTTCCACAGTTTCACATATATATTCATTTAATTTTAAAAATTTCTTTGAATATTTGTTATAATTTTTTTTTGTATTTTTTATATTAGCATCATTTAAATTATTTTTTATATTATATATATAATCATCTTCTGAATCAGAAGAAGAGTAATTTTGATATTTTGCATATAGCATTAGTTGATTTAAATTTTGAGCTTCCACATAATAACTTAAGGGGAATTTCAAATCATTTTTAAAATATTTTAAAAGATCTATCTTAGAAAAAACATTAACATGTGGTAGTTCTAAATGTATTTGACTACATAAAGATAAAAGTAAAGAGCTAATGTATTTGTAATTATCTGAGCATAATGTGCTATCAACAATATGAACCGATGCTAATCTACAATTTAATTTACTTAACTTATGAACAATGTTTTTTAAAGCATCATTGTGTGTGTATAATTCTACTTGACCAGGAGTGTCAATAATTAAATAACAATCCTTATGTTCCTTTAATTTTTCTTCAAGCCAATCAAAATTAGCTAACAAATATTCCATACAATAAATCAGGGTTCCATTAGGTCCTAATTCTAAATCTGAAAATACCTTATTTATATCAACTAATTCACTTATATTTATATCACCTTTATATATATCATTTTCAATAAAAGGATCTAAATTTACTATAAGAGTTTTTCTATTTATCTGTTTTAATATATGATCTACTCCAGCCACATATGTAGATTTTCCTGATCCTGGTGGACCAATTACTAATTGACCATACCACATAATTTAAAAAAAAAAAAAAAAAAAATCTCAAGAAATAATTTTCAATTTCAAGTTAATCTTTATAATAAATTATGTACAAAAATTTATTAAAAAAAAAAAAATGAAATAAAATAAGATAATATAACAAAAAGGCTATAATATTGAGTACTTCACAAGTATCCTTAATTTTTCTTAAGGAATAATGGGATTATCGATAAAAATTGTTCTCATTTTATTTATTTTTTTATCTTTAATCCTAAAATAAACAATATCTTTTTTTAAAAATAAAAAAATAAAGTAAATAATTGAATTTATATATCTTTCATATCATATATTATATGTATATATATTTTTTTTTAATTTAAACAAAATATAAAATATAGATTTTATAGATTATCAAATTTTATGAAAATTTACAATAAAAAAAAAAAAAATAAAAATTGTAATTCAAATATTTACAAAAATATATATAAATTAAAATAATATATACCTAAAATATTTTTAATTTTTGTTTTTAGATAAAACACTTTTAATTAGTTAAAAACATCTTTATGAACCATATGCACAAAATTGAATTATTAAAAGAATCTTTTTAACAAAGGGATATAATAAAAAAGAAAAAGCGAATCAACATATTTAAGTATTTATATTTTTATATATTAAGTAAAAGTAATTTTTTCATACTTAAGAATATAATTAAAAGAAACATACTTTAAATTATGGTATAATTTTTTTCTTTAAAAATAAAAACAATTATGAAATAATATGTTTTTTTTTTTTTTTTAAAGGACTTAATACAATAATAAATTAATTTTTTTTTTTTTTATTACAATTTTTAATTAAAATTTTATATTTAAAATTCATTTTAAAAATATCAAGAAAAAAAAATGCTTTATGATAATAAAAAAAAAAAAACTATCATATATATTATTAATAATTAATCAATGGATTCGTATATATTAACATCATATTTTGCAAATATAATTTAGTTAACGTTTATATATACTTAAAAAAAATGAGTAAAATAGAAAATAAAACTGAAAAACATTCAGAGCAAAAAAGTATATCTAAAAATTTATCAAATATAAATGAAAATTCCAAAAAAAAAAGAATAAATGACTTAAATGAGGAAAATAAAAAAAAAGTCAAAATAAATATAGGAATTGAAGACAGTAAATCAGAATTTACAGTTGAAAAACAAAATCAAATTAATAATGATTTTAATCATAAAAAAAATAATACATTAATAAATAATAGCAATGATAATTTAAATAAAAATGAAAAGGATAATAATATAAGTACTGATGATAACAACAAAGATAATTATAAGAATAAAAGTAAAAATGAACACATTGATAGTTATGATAATGTAAATTATAATAATGTTAATAATAATAATGACAGTAACAAAGTTTGTAGTTATAATACTAATAATAAAAGTAATAAGGAATGTGATAAAGAAATAATAGATAAAATTAACTCAGTGAATGAAATTAAAGAAAAGGAAAGTACTACAAATAAAGATATACTTATAAATAAATTAACAAATAAAAGATATAGTACCAGATATTTTGAACTATTAGAAGAAAAGAAAAAGTTACCAGCATGGAGCGCTAAAAAGAATTTCTTAAAATTATTTAAAAAAAATGATATTTTAATTATTGTTGGTGATACAGGAAGTGGAAAGACAACCCAGATTTCTCAATTTGTATTAGAATCTAAGTTTTCAGAAAAAAAGTCAATAGCCGTAACACAACCAAGAAGGGTAGCAGCTATGAGTGTAGCTACAAGGGTATCCGAGGAGTTAGATGTAGAACTAGGAACATATGTTGGATATACAATTAGGTTTGAAGATAGGTCTAGTAGTAAAACAATAATAAAATATTTAACAGATGGAATGCTATTAAGGGAATCAATGAGTGATCCGTTGTTGAAAAGATATAACACCATAATATTAGATGAGGCTCATGAAAGAACTTTAGCTACAGATATTTTATTTGGTGTTATAAAAAATATTTTGGAAAAAAGAAATGATTTAAAATTAATAGTTATGTCTGCAACATTAGACGCAGAAAAATTTCAAAATTTTTTTAATGGATCAAAAATTCTTAACATACCAGGTAGATTGTTTCCTGTAGAAATATTTTATACCCTTCAAGCAGAGAAGGATTATATAAAAGTTGTGATAAGAACAGTTTATGATATTCATGTTAATGAAGAAGAAGGAGACATTTTAGTTTTTTTAACAGGTGAAGAAGAAATAGAAATGACAAAAAAAGAAATTGAAAAGGTAGTATCTAGAAATGTAAATGCAGGTCAATTAGTTGTATTACCCTTATACTCCTCATTACCTTCTTCACAACAACAAAAAATTTTTGAACCAGCTCCAAATCCTAGATTTAAAGGAGATAAAATGGGGAGAAAGTGTATACTGGCAACTAATATAGCTGAAACATCTATAACTATTGATGGAATTGTTTATGTTATTGATCCAGGATTTTCTAAACAAAAAGTGTATAACCCAAGAGCTAGAATAGAATCTTTATTAATTGCGCCCATCTCAAAAGCCTCAGCTCAACAAAGAGCTGGAAGAGCAGGAAGAACAAAACCAGGAAAATGCTTTCGATTATATACGGAAAAATGTTATGAACAAACTTTACCTGAACAAACATACCCAGAAATTTTACGATCTAACTTAGGGTCTGTCGTTTTAAATTTAAAGAAATTAGGAATAGATGATTTAGTTCATTTTGATTTTATGGATCCACCAGCACCTGAAACTTTAATGAGAGCTTTGGAACAGTTGAATTATTTAGGAGCATTGGATGATGAAGGAGATTTAACAAATAAGGGACATTTAATGTCAGAATTTCCAGTAGATCCACAACTAGCAAAAGTATTAATTGAATCTCCTAATTATTTTTGTTCTAGTGAAATACTAAGTATTGCTGCTATGTTATCTGTACCTAATTGCTTTTTAAGACCAAAAATAAAAGGTAAAGAGGCAGATGAAATGAAAACAAGATTTTCTCACTTAGATGGTGACCATTTGACTTTACTCAATGTATTTCACTCTTATGTAAAATATTCTTTAGTTGATACGAATTCATCAAAAAAGTTCTGCTACGAATATTTTTTAAATCATAGAGCTATGACATCTGCCCAAAATGTTAGAAATCAATTATTAAGAATTATGGAAAGATTAAATTTAAAAATTATATCCATTAACCCTGCGAGCCCGGAATATTATGTAAATATTAGAAAAGCATTATTAAGTGGATTTTATCAGCAAGTGGCCTATAAAACGAGTAAAGGTTATTATATAACTGTCAAGGATATTCAAATAGTTACATTACACCCTTCTACTTTTTTTCAAGTAAATCCTGAATGGGTTATATATCATGAACTTTTATTAACAACTAAGAATTTCATAAGAACTGTAACTAAAATAGAAGGAAAGTGGTTACTAGAAATAGCTCACAGTTATTATGCTTTAGAAGATCTTCAAAACAGCGAAGCAAAAAATGAACTTAAAATGTTGCTTAAAAATAAGTAGCATAAAGAAAGAGACGTAAATGAAATTTCACACACTATACATGTTATTTTTTTTTTTTTTTTAAATAGTTAAATTATTAAAATTATATATAAATTTCATTATTTTTCATGTAAAAAAAGTATACAAAAAAAAAAAAAGAAAAAGAAAATCATATAAGATTTGATATATGATAAATAAAAATATCTATTCATGTTTTTTTTAAATGTTTCTTTAATTTCTTCTATTTTTTTTTTAAATAATGTATATGTAAGTATTAATAAAATAAAATTATTTTAATGAAATTTGTTTAACAAACATTAGATAAGGAAAAAAAAAAAATAAATATTAAATAAAATATAATAAATTTTAATATATATATATATATATTTTTTTATTTAAATACAAATATGTAATGCTTTTCTTTTTTTTTTTTTTTTAAATGTGCTTATAATAGAGTGCTAAAATAAATATAAATTTTTTTTTAAATATTAAAGAGTATTCTTTTTTTATGTACACATATATGTATTAACAAACATATATATATATATATATAAATAGATTATAAAAATATATAATATTTTGAAGTAAAGATGTAATTTTTTTTCTTTTCTCTAAACTGTTTGTGCCCATTTTTTGGCTGCAGTAATGCACTCATTTAAAAATTTTGTCATTTCCTCTTTGTTTTCACTGGATAAAGTGGCATTTAATTGAGATTGATTAATGAATGGCGCATTTTTAAATGAGGATAATAACTTTTTAATGATGTTTTTATTACTAAATTTATGCAATGTTATGTTAATAGAATTCCAATTAATCATAGTATTACCCCTTTCGGCTATTAATTGAATTCCTATATAATACTTTGTAGAGGAAGCAATCTCTAGGGGTTGAACATAATCAACTCTAGTTTCTATTGATTGATTCAAGTTTTTTATATTTACATTCTGTTCTTTTTTATATGACAAAAAAGAATCATCAGGAACTAAATTCATTGGTTCATTTCCATATATTGGTCTATGTACATATAAAATGACTTTCTTAATTATTCCTAGTTGTAATGGACATTTAATATCTACAAGTATTGTTCCTATTTTTTGATCTACACACTTTAAATCAAATTTGGGATAATATGCTTGCGTTGGGTAATATTGAGGTAAAGCTCCATTGTGTAAATTATTTATTCCATTTATATTGTTATGGTTAGAATTCAATTTATCGTCTGTTTCATTTTGATTAATATCTATTCCAATTAAGGATAAGTATGGGGCAAGAGGACCAACTTCTAAATTCTTTAAAACTTTTGTTTTAAATTCTTGCTGGCATCCTAAAATAGCTAACGATGCTTCTTTAAAAGCTGACTCTGCTTTTTTTTTCCATTCTTTATCTGGCTCCTTATCTGGATGCAATATATGCTTTAATCTTTTTCCAAAACTTTTTAATTGTTCTTCAGTTATTACTTTTGGGTTTATTCCCAGTATATAAAAAGAATGTTTTTTGGGAGAATTTTTATCAAACCAAGTATATTCATTATATCTATCTATTATAAACTGTACTGCTTTTCTTTTATCTTCTAATTTTTTTGATAATTCCATTTCTTGTTGTAATTTTCTTTGAATTTCTGCATCATAACTACTTTTTAATCTTTCTAGTTTTTCTTTTGCAAACAGTAAATCTTTATCTTGCGTCATTTTTTCACTCAATAATAAAACTACATCTGAATAAATTTTCTCCACCTTTTCGTTATCAGCATCTATATCTAAATTTAATATAGAATTTAAACTATCATATTCTGACTTGTTCAAAATATTTTTGTACCAAAAATTTTGCCTATATACTAGGGACACTATTATGGGTTCTATTACTTTTAATTTCTCCCACATTTCATCAATGTGATCATGTACTCTTTTTTTGCTTTTCTTTTCGTCTGATTCATTAAGAAAGTCCTCTTTATTAAAAATATTTTTTCCTATATTTAAGATATTTTTTATTTTTTCGAAACGATCTTTAACATTCTCAACATCAATATTATTTTTTAATTTTAAGATATTCTTAACAACAAATAAAAAGTCTTCAAAATTAACTTCACTAAAATTCTCATCTATATTGTTAATATCTTTTAAAAGTTCTTCTATATAGTTTTTTGATATTATACTAATAAAAGAATTATTATCGTTGTTATTGTTTACATACACATCATCAAAATTACCTTTCCTCTTTTTACTAGATGCATCATTTTCCTTATTTACATAGTTTAATTTCAAATTATCTTTTTCAAATAAATTTGGATTATTAAGAAACAATTCATCAATGAAACTTACCAATGATTTCAAAAAGGTATCAAAATTTTCTTTACTTAATAATAAATTAGCCTTTTTAATTATTGAATAAATAAAACCAAAAGATTTATATATGTAAAATAAATCTTCTACTGTTTTTTTATACATCAATTCTTCATCGTTCAACTCATCAATAAAATTTTCATAATATATTTTTTTCAATTCAGTTTCACTAATTGTACTTACGTCCTCATTAATTACCATTTTAAATAAAATATGTTTTCATATTAATAAAAAAAAAAAAAAAAAAACATAACATTTCACTTATATATTTTCCTTTTTATATGATACAAAATATATAAAATATATTATCAAATAAGATTAAAAATATTCTTAAAAAAAAAAAAAAAATTAAATCAAAAAAATTAAATCAAAAAATAAAAGAATATTAAAAATTAGTTATCTTTTATTTTTTATAAACCTATAATTTATAAAAAGAACTAAACAAAAGTGCCATTTTATAATATATTTTGTATATCCATTTGAAAAAAATATATACACATTATCAGTGAAATTTTTTTTTTTTTCATAAACTAAATAATTGCATATTTATTTACTTTATACATCTTTCATATTTAAGACTTCATAATTTTTTTTTTTGTTTATTTCTTTTAAAAAATGTATTGCATTAGTACAATATCATAAATTCTTTTATTAATGAGCTATTTAATTTTACTTTATTACTATTTTATATTTAAATATTGGAAACAATTATAAAAATAAAATAAATTAAAAAAATGTAAAATTTAAATGTTTTAATTTTTCATTAAAATCAAACAAAAATACGTATTTTTTATACATTCAAACATTAAAATTTTATTTTTATAAACATCTTTAAATTATGTAAACAAATTTTTCTTTAAAAATTTTTTTTTTCTCTATATTTTTCATTATATTACTGAAACACTATGTTATCAAATAAAAATAGACATAATTTAGAAAAACTATAAAATATATTTATATTTATTTTTAAAATATACTTTTTATATGTAAGAAGAAATATAATATTGTTGATATAATTTTAATTTAATATATATAAGGTCAACGTTAAATATATATTCATAAAATATATTAATCAAATTATAAAAAATAGTTAATGGTTTAAATACTAAAAATATATAGTAATAAAAATAATTATACATTAATAGCATCTATAATTTTGAAATGAGAAAAATATATATAAAATGAAGAATAAAAAAAGAAAAATATTATGTGTTTTAAATATTTTTTTGTCTAACGCATTTTATTATATTCATTTTAATGTCTGATAAAAAAAAGTAATTGCATTTTATTTTATTTTATTTTTTCATATATTTGGAAAATTTAAGTGTATGTAATTTAAAATGAAAATTATGGGGAATTATATTTTTGAATAAGGTAAAAAAGGAATACATATATATATATAATTATAGATAACATTTTTTTCTGAAAAATTATCCTTATATTCAAAAAATTACTAACATAAACATTTATAATTTACAATTTTGTTAATGATATTCTATTTTCGCATTTAACTCTTTCATAAAATTTTACATAACCTTTATTTTATAATATATTAAGAAAATCATTATAACACAAATATCATAAACGACATATATTAAAATATTTCTATATATAAGTAAAATAAAAAAAATATGAGCATAAATAGAAAATAATATATTTATTTTTATTGTAAAAACAAAAACAAAAAAAAAAAAAATAATGATATAATAAAGCAAAATAAATATTTTATATTTATATAAACTCGAACAATAAATTATTAAATACATAAATAAAAATATGATTAAGATTAAAAAATCTATTATTTTCAAAAAATATTATCTAATAAAAATAAAATAGAGTTGTCTTTGTAAAGATTGTCATTCTTATCTCATTAAAGATAATGTGTATAATGAAAATGACAAAATAATTATTAAAAAATATAAATGTTTATCATAAAATACTAAAATAGTTTAAAATTATATTCATAAAAATAAATGATATTACTCAAAATTTAATACAAAAATTACTAAAAAATAATTTAAATACATTAAAAGTATTAATAAAAATTCTTATAAATAAAAGCAGAATATTAGAGATAAAATGTTTCTTTTTAAAGTTCATTGCAAATATTATTTTTTAGTTACAATATATCCAAATATGTAGATTTTTTTTTTTTTTTTTTTCTTTTTTTGTTATGAAAACTATAGATAAGACAAAAAAAAAAAAAAAACTTAGTATCAATATTTAGAATTATTCCTAGTATAATCATGTAAGAATAAATTATTTAAAATTCCATTTTATAATGTAACAATTTTGTAATTTTTATATATAACCTATTAATCAAATATATATTTTTGAAAAATAATTTTTCTAAAATAATTATTTAGTATGTTAATTCCCTATGTAAAAAGAAATAATAATTTTTATTTTTTCAATTATTTTAATAACCTAAATATTGTCTGAAATAATTAATTACATGCGTATTTTTTTTTTTTTTTTCCTTATTAAGATTATATTCATAACACCACTAGTAATTGTTAAGTATTCAGAACAAAATTCATAAGTAATTTTATATTAGTTAATATATACGTTTATATTGTGAACGTAAATTTTTAATTTTTATGAATTTCATTATTTTATCCCTACATAAAGTTAATGTCTCTTAGTATCCTTACTATATCGCTTCTAAATACTAATTTTTAGGGCTATAATAATCTTAAAAAATTGATTTTTTTATATAATAATTTTTTGTTTTTGAGTCTTAATTAAATATCAAATTTAATGAAAAACCACTACTTAAAAGCAACAAATCCTTTATATTTTTTAATTTAATTGCTTTCTCAATTATAATTAAGAATATAATTGAAAATAGATGAATAAACAATACTTCAAATTATCATTTTTGAAATTTGTATATTATCTTTATCACCTTTTATTTAAATTAATTTTTTTAAGAATATATTTTAAAATATTTTATGTTATCATTTTCATTAAATTCTGTTGATTTGCTTCTTGAAAATTTTATTTCATTATATGATCTAGAAGTTACATAAGGGAAATGTTTATTATCATCTAAAATTTTTTCATTACTAAAGGAGTGATATATATTTTTATTAATTTTCTTTATAGAATGTAAATTTTTAAAAAAGCTTCTGTTCTTGTTTATTTTAAAAATATCCTTTTCGTTTTCCATGTAAAAATCATATAGAATTTGCAGTATGCCATTGTTCTTTTGATACATTTCTAAATTATTAAAACTGTGTTGTTCACTAAATTTGTTATTGAAATACTTTTTTTTGACATAAAAATTTAAAAGTTTAGAAAACTTATAAATATTCATACTATCTAAGAAATCTTTAGTTAAATTATTATCGCTCCTTTGCATTTCGTTTATTAATGATAACTCTTGATTGCATTTTTTCAAAATACCGTAATAGTCATTTGGATTTTTTAATATTTCTTCATCTTTATTTAAGATAATAATATTTAAATAGTCATTTAACTCTTGTAATTCCTTAGTTTCATCAATATTGTAATTGTCACTTTTCTCACTTAATACTTGTTTACTATTACGACAAGACACTAATTTTTTTTTATATACACAATTTTCAGGGTTTACATTATTGTTTTCTTTCATAAATATTTCATTTTCATTATAATTTTTATTAAATATCTTTTTATTTAATAATGAAAGTTCTTTTTCTAAATATGTATCATCGTTATATTTTAATATATTACTAGGTAAGTGTGAATTTTTTTCAAATGATGTATTCAAAAATGAAAAAATGTGCTCTTCTAATTTTTTTTTTATCTTTTTTATTGATGTTAAAGTTTCCATGTAAAATGCTTCACTTTTTTCTCTTAACGTTTCCTCATTAATATTTTCCAACATTTTTTTAGTTTCATTGATTAAATTTTTTTGATTTTCTCCAACACAAAACAATGCATTATTTATTTTATATATATAACACAATTTGTCTAAATATTTCATTAATAACATTAAATTATATACTTTATCATAATTTTTTCGTTGTAATGTTAAAATGTCTTTCTTCGATTTCTTTATTAAAGCATTAATATCTTTAAGATTATTATTTCTTTTTTCATTAATATTCTTTATATTATTTTCTTCAAGATTAAAATTATTCTTGATATTTAATATATTATTTTCGTTATTACAAATAATATTTATTCCTTTTAAATCATCTTCATTGTATTTATTTTCATTTAAGTCGTTACTTTTTTTTAATTCAATATTATCTGCTTTCTCTGAATTTTTTCTATCAATTGTATTACTTCTGTTTTTTCCTTCTTCGAAAAGGGCATTAGCAACTTTTTCTTCACTCAATGATGAATAACATATCTTCAAATTTTTCTCATCTGAAAATTCTGAGTTTAAATTATTTAATATATTTATTTCTCTTTTTATAGGAATCATATTAGTTAAGCTATCCTCCTGCATTTCTACTTTATCCTTTAAAATTAAATCTTCAGTAAATGATGATGAATTAAAAAAAAATTGTTTTCTAAGTTTTTTTTGGCCTATTGAGCATAATAATCTTGACATTTTAAGTAATTCTATAAAATATATTTTTATAATGGCTGATTCAAATTTTGTCATTTTAACTACTTTTGGGAAGTATAATATATAAAATCTAATTTTTTCTATTATTTTTCTTATTAATTTTGAGACCTTTTCTATACTTACTTTAAAAGTATTTATTTTATGCTTTTCAATTAAATAAATAATACAAAGAATAAAAATTTAACTTCCAAAGCATATTCATTATCATTTCTTCTCTTTATAGAATGATTTAAAATATTTTTTAATTTATTTGAATAAAATATTATAGAATTCAGTATATAATCTACATGATTTTCATAAGTCATTTGGTTCATAAAAAGAGAGCGCTGTTGCAATAAATTTTTATGAAATAGTAAGTTGTTATTATCTTTTAAATTTTTTTTTTTTGATAAAAATGTTTTAATTAAATTTATGTACTCTAAATTTTTATTAAAAAATTTTTCATTAAAGAAGGAGTCATAGCTTTTGTTTTTAATACACTTCTTTTTAATTTCTTTACCGTAAAAATTATATTTTTCACATCCAGGAAATTTTAAATTTGTTGACAATATTTCACTCAAATTGTTAGACATTTTTGAGTTGTCTTTTTTATTTGTTTTTTCATCTAAATTATATGAGTATAAATTTGCTTTTTCTTCGTTCAATATAGAAGCCACTTCTTGTAAAATCATTATAGTTTTATAATTATTCTTTTCATAAGTGTTTTTTTTAATTTTAGATTGAAATGATGAAAATTTGTTACTTTCATTCAATAACGAATTGTTATTAAACTTATTTACCATATCACTTAATTTTTTTTTATATGTTGTTAAACTTATATTATTTAGAGGTTTAAAATTTGCATCATTTTCAACATGTCTTTGCGAAATATTAAAAAATTCTGGGTTATTGCATTTTAATTTTATGTTGATATTTCTTTTATTTTTATTAATACAATTACATTTTTTATTCTCGTTTTTTACATTTGTATGTGTAGCTTTTACTTCATTAAGAGTATAATGTTTATCTTTAGAATCAATAAAACTTTCTTTAATTAATTCTGAATTAATATGTTCAAAAGTAATTGCTTTGTATAAAGAGTTATTTTCTTTGTTATTTAAATTTGAATTATTCATACTAGTAAAATTTTTTCTAGGTAATTTGTTATTACATGCATTTTTCATATTGTTTTCTTTAATACTTATATTAGAATTCATTTTACAAATATTACTTAATTTTTGTTCCGTAAATTTTTTATTAGCATTATATACTTTTAAATCATCAACTTCTATATTTTTTATACTTTTAGATGTTGAATTATGTATTTTATTAAAGTTTTCTATATTACAACTTTTTATTTCCTCATGTTTTTTTGACGTTTTATCACTACATTTTTCTATATTCAAATATCTATTCTTCTCCTCATTGCTGCTGTAAACCGAATTATTGTCTTCATTAAATGTATTAAATTGTGGTAATATGGTATTTTCAATTTCTAATACTTTTGATGAGATACCTTTGCCTTGTTTAATGTTTACCAACTTTTTAGAATAAATATCAGAACACCCAGAACTAAAATTATTTTTTTTTATTTTTTTTCCATATATAGAATGCCTAATTATTTTAATATTTTTTTTTTTTTTATTATTAGATGTATTTTTTTTGGGATTTTTATTAGTTTTATTTTTAACGTATTTCGACTTTGAGGTCTTCTTTTTTTTAAATTTTAACTCATTTTTATGAGGGATTTTTTCTTTCAGCCTAAATTTTTTTTTTCTTTTTATTTTTCTACTAATTTTTAATCTTCCGATTTTAGTGAATTTTTTTTTTTTTCTTATCGTTTGACTAAAATTATCTACAAGTAAAGGTTTTTTTTTTTTTTCTAACTGGGACAATGATGCCATTGAGTTATTCGTATTTCGATTATTTTTCTCATTTGTGAGAATTCCATTTGAAAGCATTAAATTAATATCTTTATCAATATTAAGTAATTCTATATTTAAATTTACCTGTTTTATTTTATTTTTTTTGTTGATTGATAAAGGTGATGAATTTATTTCATTTTCAGAGTTTTTATCATCGTGAGATAAAAATGAATTTTTTAAAACGTGTTCTAATTTTATATTTTCATTTGTGTCATTGTTGGTGTGGAGCGATGTTTTATATTTATTTAATATAATTTCATTTTGTGTTTCGTTTCTTTCTTTGAAGGTATAATTATCACTATCTTTTGTGAGATTATAAATATATATTTCCTCATTATCATCATTTCTTTTCTTATAGATACAACTATCTTTTTCCTTATATATTTTTTTATTATTTTTAAAATATCCATTTTTCTCAGTATAAATATTATTTAGATATTCAAATGATTTTTTTTTTAATCTATTCTTTGACTTATTTTTTATATATTTTTGATTTATATAGTTATTAAATATGTGTGTTCTTACATTTTCATCAAATTTTGAAACTCCTAGATGTTTTTTTCCATTTTCTCCATATATGTTCCTGTAATTGGTTGACATATTTTCATTAGGATCTTTTCTTTCATTATAAATATATGGAGCATTCTTATTATAATAACCATTTTTTTTTATAGCTTGAGTAGGTTTTTTACATGAGTATACGAAGTTGCTAATTTCATTTTTGTTATATGATTTTCCATAAATATCTTTATATTCATTTTTAAACTCACTTGTTAGTTTTAAATAATCATTATCATCTTTATGATTAATTTGGTTCTTATTAAAATTTTCATAACAAAGAAAATTGTTATTACTTTTTTGTTTTAATTTATCTTTGAGTGAATTAATATCTGCATTTGTATGTTTTTCTTCTCGGAGGAAATTATTGTATCCATCATTAAAATTAAATGAATCCACTTGATTTATATTGCAACAATATTTTTTCATATTTTCCAATATTTGATAGCAGCTGTCTTTTTTTTTGCTATCATAATTTACATCTTTACTATGTTCTTTACATGTTTGTTGGAAATATACTACATCATTTTCCATAACTATAACTGGATGTTCTTTATTCTCTGTACTTTTTACTTTAGATTTAAACTCATTTTTTTTTATAGATTCCATATTGTTTGCTTATTTTTATTAGAGTGAATACTTTATTCTATTTAGTCAAAATTTCCAAAGAAACTTGATCAATATCTTTATCCTTTTCTACTGAATTTTTAGATGGTATAAATACCTGGTGAATTTTAACTAAAATATTTTTTGCTTTTTTAAAACTAAGTTGCTTGTATTACTAATGAAATACAATTTTATTGGACCAACATTAAGGAAGAAAGTTCATGTATATTGGTTTATAATAGGTTAAAAATATTTTTAAAATAATACATTGTGTAGAAACAACTTTTTTACCTCATGATACTTGAATGTACTATTGTAATGTATTATGTCTATTTCTTCAATTATTTTAAATATATAGAAACATTTATTACTTTTTTTGAAGGTCTATAATAAAAATTTTTAAACTCTTTCGAAAAAAATTTATAAATAAAATGTGTCAAAATTGATTAAAAAAAAAAGCCTTTCAGTGACTTTTTAATTTAATTATATATATACATATATGTAGATAGAAAAATATTCAAGAAACATATTAAAATTCGTTATATAAATTTTTATTATTTCACCGTTTTTTTTTTACACAATATTAACTATCTCTTCAAATTAATTTAAAGTTTTACTAGCCATTCTAAAAAAAGCTGTTTTTTTTTTTTTTTTTTTTTTTTTTTTTTTGTTAATATAATAATATTACATAAAAATAAAAAAAGTTGTAAATAAAATATATATATAAAATTATAAAATGTTTTTATTGTAACAAAATGCACTATCGCTAGCTTATCACCTCTACAACTGTTTATCGTCTTTAGTTAAAAAAAGTTATCGTAAAAAAAAAAAAAGTAATAATATATTAATCATTTAAAATATATATGAATTAAAAAAATTTTCTATAAATGTATATTTTTTTTTTTTTTGATTAATACTAATAATTTGATTATTTACAATTTAAACAAATAGTCTTAGTTAAAAACAAGAAAAAGCATAATTATTAAAATGTATATATATATTATTATTATATTTATCTTATAAATAAAAACTTTTAAATAAGTAAGAATTATTTAGCCTCTATAATTTTTAAGATTTAAAATATATAAGTATAAAAAATTAAAGTGAAAAATTTCCCTTATCAAGTTTTATGTTAGTCATTTTGGTTAAAAAATTTTCATAAATACAAACATTTAAAAATGAACTATAGTTAAGACAAATTCTATTTTCCCTTACATATATTGCAAATTAGTTTCCTTTTTAATTATATATATATATTTTAATAGAATAAAAGGTACATATTTATTTTCCAATTTCCTTGTTAACAAAATAACAATAACAGATATTTTTGTACGTTCCATTCAAAAATGTGAATACATTCATAATAAGAAAATATATTATACAAATAAAATGCTTCAGAAAAAAAAAAAATATTATAATAATTATATTAGTTCCTAAAAATAATGTAATATTATAACCCTATATATATGTACATGTATATTTAATTTCAAATAATTTTGAATAAATAATTAAAACTATTATTATTAAAAGTAAAAATTAATAATTAACTCCATGGAGTTAAAGGACGTAAAATTTGTAATATAAAAATTTCAGAATTATCTGCTGATTGATAAAATAATCCATCAAATTGCGTTGTACACTTAATAAAATAAAAAAAAAACATAAGAAGAAAGAATGTTACATTACTACCTATTGTAAATATTTGAGCATACTTATATAAATCACTAGTTTGAATGTCTTTATCATAAAATTCTTCTATATTTGTTGGAATATTTTCTAGACATCCTTCCATTTTCATGGCTTTTGCTTTTTCTGAAGCAAATCGATCATTTCTTAAATCTTTATATGCTATGCAAACTTTTAAATTATTAAAATTACATTGCTTATAGTTTTCTTTTCTAAAATCTGGAATAAATATAAAATAATTATGGTTTTTTAAATAATTGAGGTCATTACATTTACGAATATAAGTTATATTTGCGTTTCCTCTTTGTTCTGCTACTATATTCGTGCAAGCTGTTCTTTTACCCTCAAAAATTCTACAGTTGTTTACTACAAATGTGCCTGTGACATTTAAACGCTTCTTACACCACAAACTTGGGGTGACATATAGAGTAATTAAATTAAATAAATTTATAATAAACCATAAAACAAAAAGGATTGCTAGCACCCAAGGAAACCACTTGGCAGTGCAACCAATTCTTTTAATCCATTTTCCTAGTGACATAAAATCGTTAATTGTGAAATTTGAAAATATTGAACAAATTCTAGATAAAAAAAAGGCTAAAATACTTATGAAGCTAGTTAAAATAAGAAAAATTAATAAATCCGTTAACATAAAATTAATACTTGCATATTCACACGAATAATTTATAAAAAAATTGAAAGATTTGATAAATTGTTGAAATATTAAAGTGAATATAATGTTAAAAGCAGCTATAGTTGTTAAACAATTATAATAAAAACTAGCTCTCCAACTATGTCTTCTATAATTCCAATTTATGTAAAATTCATTAATCATTTTACCTATACGCCCAGGTTTTTTACTTTTTTTCTTATCCATTTTTTCAAAATAATAAATAAGAATAAAAATAGTAAAGTTATTTATAGAATTTCATCTTTTTTCTTTTTTTTATTTTAATTTTAAGGAATCAAATGCAAAAAGGTATATAAATTTGAATACCCCTTTTTACTTAAAATTTAAATTTCCTTTTAAATAGTTTTAATTTTCATTAATGTGAATTCATGTGTTGCTTCTCATTATATTTTTATTTTTTTTCTTTCTTTTATATATTAAATTTTAATACATTATTATTATGATTATCTAGTTTAACAATTAAAAAAAATTGGAATTTTATGAAAAAATAATTTTTTATTTAAAATTTTTTTTTATAATTATTTATTTACAGAAAATTTTATAATTATATTTATATAATTTTTTTCATTTTTAAATTCGTAAGAACAAAAATACATGATATATAAAAAATAGCATAAAAATACAACAGAGCTTAATAAGACATATAAAATTATATGCATATATATATTCCTCCTTTTTTTTTCTCTTTTTGTTATAAGATTGGCTCTGAAATTGTAATAAAAAATAGAATAAATCTAAAATAATGAATATAATAAATTTATCAAAATTTTCCATAAAAAAAAATAAATCTTAAAAAAAATGTAATATATGGCATAAGTTCATAAATTAAATATTCAATGTAACAAAAATAAAAGCAAAATAATATATTAGTGCATATTCGTGCATAACTAATTCAATTTGCATAAAAATTATATTTTCGTGTATCTTAATGATTTTTTAAAACCCTGAAATTTTTATTATATATATATTTTGAATACAAGAAAGAGAATTTTTTTTATATTTAATTATATTAATGGGATGAATTTATATATATATATATATATATATATATATATATATATTTTTATTTTAAACATGTAGAAATGAAAAGCTTTTTTATAAAAACAGTTATTTTATATCAATCATGAAACGTTTTTTTTAAATCATAATTCATGAGAAAAAATAGTTTTAGTTATGATTATATTTCTACATTCTTCTTTATAAAGTAACTCGAAAATAATATTGAATCAAATTGTATTTTGAAAAATTATTTAAAGTAGAATTTATAGCATTAAAAAATGAATGTAATAATAAAAATTAGTAAACATATTTGTATAAAAAAATTACATTAAATAAAATACAGTTATTTTAAATATTAATATACGTTTTATAAATTTATATTAATTTCTAAATTTTAAAAAAATGAAGAGGTTTAATTAATACCAAAAATAAAATGTGATTTGAATTAAATACAAATAAAATAGCTATTAATATATATAAAATATATGATATATAAAAAAAAGTATTTTAAATATGGCATATATACACATTATCTCCATACGTCTAAAAGACGGGTAAATTTAAAAAATAAATTTAATCTCTCTTCATTCATAATAAAAGATGAATCTATAGGTGTATTTACTTTTATAACAATTATAAATGTTAACAGTATTATAGTAGTAACCAACCAAAATAAAATAAACGATATGGAAAATAAATAAATATTACTTTTATGATCAGAATCCTCTAAAAAATATTGTTCTCTTAAATCAACTGTATTTCCAGAACAGTTTGGAAAGGATTCCCAAGAAGTCTGTTTATTTTTTATAAAATCAACAAAAAAATCACATAATTTTTTATCTTTTAAGGAACATACTAAATTTGGAGAGGATCGTACTAAAAATAGAAAGCTTTGAACTTTTAAAATGTTAAAATCATTGCAACTTTCTTTTTTTCTTAAAACTATCACTTCGTTAGTAATTTCGCACCCTTTTATAAAAAAAAAGTTTTTATGTAAACTATATTATATTATCTTTGTAAATTTAATGTAATTATAGGATCTTATTATGCAAAAAAAAATATATATATATATATATATATATTTGTGTGTGAAAAGGATATTATAAACCTGTAGCTCTGTTTTTAACTAAAAGGCAATTATTTAGAGCATCCATTCCATATATATTATACTTTAAACTACACCATTTGTTAGGACTAGAAAAAATGGTAATAATATTAATTATAAGGAAAAATAACCAAGACATATATATTAAAGACAAAATCCAAGAAATATATTTTATTAAGAATCCAACAACGGTGTAATAAATTCCTAAATTGAAAAATTCACTATTAGTAAAGTTTGAATATAAATACGTTAAACGAGAAAAGAAAAAATTGATGAATCCCATTAAAATTATAAATATTAATACTTCCATGTACCTACTTTGCACTGACATAATTCTAGAAGAACTACAAGAATGGTTACTAAACTTTTCTCTAGATATCAAAATCCTAACAATTAGTGTGTACACTATACCAAATACTAATAATATATAAAAAATACTAAAAAAAAAGCTATACCTCCAAACGAATTTTTTTTTTTTCCAATTAGACACAACATATTTATTTTCAATAAAGGAATTCAGTTTTTCTAAATACAACATTTTTTTTTATTTTAAAAAAATAAAATAAAAGAAAAATATATATGTAGGAAGAAATATTGCCATAAATAGAAATGCAAAATTATTATTTTTTTTTTTTTTTCAAAAGGTATATTTAAATATATTTTTTTAAGAATATAAGTATCTATGATAAAATTATTGTAAATCAACACACATAATTTAAGTACAAAGGGTATTATTACAGAGATTTAAATAGGAGAAAATAAGTAAAATAATAAAGCAATAACATATATAATTTTAATTACATATTTTATTAATACCTAAAAATAACATCATTATATATAGATATTATAAATAAAATTATTTACAAAATAACGAAATTTTTTATATTATTTAATTTTCCCATTAATATTAAAAAAAATAAAATTATATTAAAATCTTTTTCATTATATTTGTACATAACAAAGACAATTTTGATTTTTGAGATAAAATTAATTTTATAAACTACAAATTTTAATTCTTTTTTCTTTTTTTTTCTTCAATGGTTAAATTCAGTTTGAAATATTTTATTAGGAAAGAAATAAATATGTTTCCTTTTTTTTATAAGTATTCGGAAAAATATTAAATAATATGAAAAAGAAAAAAGACTGTACATATTTATATAAAAATAATATCATGATCTACTCAAAATAGTTAAATTTTAGAGTTAAAAAATAAAATATATATATGTATTTAAAAAATGTATATTTTTAATTTAAAATTTTTTTAAATGTATATGTTTTTAAATAAATTATTTTTTTTTTTTTTTTTATAAAGAAATTTCATATTTATTCAAAGTATGGAATTTTTATAAATAAATTCCTTTTCATATTATAATGAAAATTTATTATATATTTTGGGTTTTATCAATAAAGTATATTTATATTTGCAAATATATAAACAAAAATAAACAAACAAGTTTAAATAATATAAGTAATATTCATGGAATAAAATATAATTTAAAAGTTGAAAATAAAATGAAGAAAAAAATTTTTCTTAAAATTAAAAGGGAAAATATTAAGAAAAAGAAAATTTTAAATACAAAAATTAATGGTTTTACATTTTTAAATAATATGCAAATTATTAAAAAAAAAAAATTTACTAAAATTAGTGAGAATAATTTACTTAATAACAATATAAAGGACGAGAAAATATATGAATACCATGAAGAAAATAATGAAGAAAATAATAAAGAAAATAATTACGAAAAAAATGAATATGAATCAAAAGAAATACATTATATAATAAATAATTACGAAAAAAATTGGTATACTTTAAATGTTACTAAAAATGATTTACAGTTGATATACTGTTTCCTAATAGGGCAAGAGTTTTGTTTTAGTGAAGTTGAATGTAACAAATATATTGGCTTAATAAATAAAAAAATATTTTTATTTAAAGAAACAGAAAACAATATTTTTTATCAATGTCTATATGACAATAAAATTACCCTACATAGCAAAAAAAATAATATTGAAATATTAAACTGTGACACTAATGAAAATCAAAGCAACTATGAAAAGGAATTACAAGACTTTTTTAATTTGAAATTTCCTTTGGATAAAAATATGGAAGCATGGAAGAAAAAAGATAAAAGAATGAATGAAATTTCTAATAAAATAAAGGGACTACGAATATTAAAAGTAGACCCAGTTGAGTCTTTTTTCGCTTTTCTTTGTTCATCTAACAATAATATTCCAAGAATAACATTAATGATTGATTGTTTAAAAAGGCGTTATGGTAAATTTCTAGCTACAATTATTTTTCAAGATAATGATATAATTATAAAAACTAAAAATGAAATGGAACGCATAAAAGAAGAAAGTAACACTATTTCAAATATGAAAAAAATACATTATGAAAATCTAAAAATAAAAAAAGAGAATTATGAAAATATAAAGAAAAATATAAAAACAGAGGATGATGAAACAATAAATAAAAATATAAAAAATAAAAGCTATCAAAGTATAAAAGTTAATGTAAAAACTGAAAATGATGAATATATAAATAAAAATATAGAAAAAAATAGATTTAAAAGTACACAAAAAAAAACAAAAATAGAAAGTGATAAATATTTAAATAATGATTTGTATAGTGGGAAAAATGAATTATTATGTGATGATAATAAAACATTTTATGAAAATGTAAAAAAAATGATAAAAGAAGAAAGAAAAATGAAAACTTTTGATTTTTACGAATTTCCAAAAATTGAAACTTTGTCTAAATTAAAGGAAGAAGATCTAAGGAGTTTAGGGTTCGGCTACAGAAGTAATTATATTATAGAGAGTGCAAAAATGTTAACAAAAATGGGAAATGAAAAATGGATAGAAGACTTAAGAAAAGAAGAAAAAACAAAAGATTGCATAGATAAATTAGTTAAATTTCCTGGTATAGGTTTAAAAGTAGCTAACTGTATTTGCCTTTTTGGTCTGAATAGATTTGATTGTATACCCATAGATACTCATATTTATGACATTATTTACAAATATTATAATAACTTAATAGAAAATGTAGATAATAATGATTCCATTAATAAGAATAAATATAGTAAAAAGAATTTACATACAAACAAAAATACAAGAGAAAACGCAAATGATAAACATATAAAAATTCCACAAATTTTAGATAATGTAAAAATAAATGATCAAGCATATCGTATACAGAATACGAAACAGAAAAAGAAAACTTTAACGAAATCGTTATATATAAAATTATTTACAAAACTCAAAAATTTATTTGGCCCTAATTGTGGGTGGGCACAAACAATTCTATTTGTATCTGAATTAAAAAAATTTGGTCATTTGTTTGAATAAAAATATATATACAATGAATTAAATAAAATAAGTAAATTAATTTAGAAATTTTAATTTTTCTATTGTCTTTAATGTTTAACAATGACAAAAAAAAGAAAAAAAAAAAAAAATACTTTTTAAATTGTCTAATAAAATAAAATTTTTAACTAAAATCCAAAATATAAAAAAAGTTTTTATTGTATTTAATTTACAAAGTTATTATTTTTAGTATTTGTGAATTTTTTTGTATTTAATTTTTAAATTTATTTAAAACTGTCTATTTTTAATAATTTTTATAAATTTTTCATTGATTTCAAGCAACTAATTATTTTTAAATTAATTTGAAATTAAATATATCTTATATATATTTTTGGCATTTAAATTTTAATATTATAATTTTTTATATACATTTTTTTTTTAAATTACACACAAAAAAATCTTTTATAAAAATCTTATACTTAAATTATTTGATTAATATTTTCTTAATTGATATTAAAAAAAAAAATTATATATATATATAGATATATAAGAATATATATATATATAAATAAAAGGGTAGATAAATTATATATTACTTTTTTTTTGCTTTTATATTATGCTAAAATATTTACCAATAAAAAAAAAAAAAATAAAAAAAAAAAAAAAAAGCAGTAAAATATTTTTCATTAAATAAATTAAAATTTTTATTTATTAATTATACAAAAAAAGAAAATACGTATGCTTCATTTAAAACTTCATTTTCTTAGAATACTAAATACTTTTTATTCATAAATCTTTTTTTTTTTTTTAATATCCATATGATAATTTCATATTTTTTTTGTATTTAAATATATTTACACAGTTATATTTATTGGTATTAAAGAAAATTATAGTAATATTTTTGTATTCCTTGTTTAATTTTAAAGTAAATATAAAATAATTTAAAAATATATATTTGTAGTTTCTTCATTTAAACATTTATATGATATTAATTGTATTTCTTTTTTTTTTTTTTTTTTTTAATAAAATTTTGTTTTAAATTTATAATTTTTTTTTTTTTTAATTTTTTTTTTAAATTCACAATTTTTTTTTTTTTTTTTTTTATCTTTATATCGAAGTTTATGCATATTTTAATATATTTTTTAAATATGAAAATTGTTGGAAAAATAAAAGATGATTATATAGGTAAATATGTGTGTATTAAATTATAATATACATACAAAGAAAAATATATATATATATATTTTTTTTTTTTTTTTTTTGAAACCATCCGTTTTTTCTTTTCTATTATGAAAAATTTCTTCTTGTTAACTAATTAGAATAATGAAATCTTATAGACTTAAAAAAACAAATGAAAAAAAAGAGGATGAAAAAACTAAAGATATTGGTGATAATATAAGCAATTTGATAAGTTTAAAGATTAGAAATGAAAATATACATATAAAAAATATTATAAGAACAATACACTATGTTTATACAAATAAATACGATAGTGAAACAGGTTTTTCCTATATTAAAGACATATTAAAAAATATCATTAAAGGTAATGTTTACGATATTGAATATAAAAAGTACATAAATAAAAATTGCATTTATGAATTGTGTTCTAGAATACTTTTAAATATCATAAAAACTAATGTTAAAGATGATAATTTTAATAAAATAGTAGAATTTTTATTTGATATATTATATTATTGTGATATAATAATGAGTGAAAAGAAAAAAGTAAAAAGTATTAACACAGAAATTAATAGTAATCAAGAATATGAATTAATCACCAAATTATGGAATAGATTATTGGATAATATATTTATTAAAGATAAGAAACAAAGAATTAATTTATGTAAAGTTATAAAAACTTTAGTTAAGAAAGCCTGTGCTTTACAAATTGATGTTTCTAACAAATTGTGTAAAAAACACGCTAACATATTTTTATCTCTATTAAATGACAAAGATCATAATATTAGAGTATTATGTTTAATCATACTAGAACCATTTCAAGATTTCAATACTAAAGGAAGTTACTTGAAATGTCTGGATGATTCTCATTATATTGTAAGAATAAATGCTATAAAAAATATTTCAATAAATGTGGAAGATAATAATTTTGATCATTTAGTAATTTTAAAAAACTTTTTAATTAGAATAAATGATATTAATCATAATGTAAGAATAAGTGTATATGAAAAATTGAAGAATTATTATTTTTACATTCCTTCTGATATGAAATTTGAGTTATTATTATGTGGATTAAATGATAAAGATAAATTAGTACGTGAAAGTTGTTATAGTATGATTATACATTGGATACAACTATTTGATGATAAAATAGAAAATTTACTATTGCATTTAATAAATAGTGACATAGATAATGATATAATAGTGGAACAAATATGTAAAATTCATTTAAATAATGTAAGAAAAGGTAATATAAAAAGTAGTACTATAGAGGTTGATGAAGATAGAAAAGTTTTTGAAAATAATAATAATTCTGAAGAAAAAAACTCTACTTACAATAATTATGATTGTTCTTATAATGAATCATGGTTTAATTATTGCATAAATAATCTATTTTCACTAAATACAGCAGAATTATATATTCTACGAGTATACGTTCAACATTTCTCTGATGAGCAAGAGAAAGAAAAAATTGATGCTCTAAAAGTAATTAATACCATATATTATTATCTGTATTTGAGTAAATTTAATGAAAAATTATATTATAATAGAAAAAATTATATTAACTGTATTGAAAATAATGAAAGTGATCAAGCGGATAGTCAAAATTTGTTTTGTTCTTGTGGAAAAAATAAGATAGATATAAAAGTATTAGAAGAAAATAGAAAAAAAAAGTTTATAGATACTTCAATTTTTGATGATACATACTGTGATAAATGTCTATATTATACAACAGCTAAAAAGAGTGAATCACATAACAATAGTAATGATAAAAATGAAACAGGAGACAATAATGCAGATTCTAATATTCAAGAAAATGTACTAATAAATGAAGATAATATAAATGAAAATTATAATTACATTTGTAATATAAAAAATTTATTACTCATATGTAAATATTTAGATATAATAGAAATATATCAAGTAGAAAAAATTTTAAAATGTTGTGAAACAATTTTATTAACAGGACCGTTAAGAGAAGTTATTATAAAATGTATGTTAAATAATACAGGGGTAAATTACTATAAATTGCAAAAAGGACATATTACATGCGCATATTGGTTAAGTAATAGTTATATATATGCATGTTTAGAATTATTAAGACAAATGATTTATATAAAAAACAAAAATAGTGATATAAATGATATAGAAATAAATTTAACCAATCAAATATTAAGTATAATATCTGAAATTAAGGAGCCTTTTGATGATACAGAAAATGATAATCCATTTTTAGACAATAATATTAATTTAATGGAGGATGAAAAAAAATTAAGTAAAAATATAGGTAAAAATGAAAAAATTGAAAAAAATCCTTTAACACTCTTATTTAATAATATAATGAATGTAGAAAATGACACTATCTTTGATATAATAAGAAAAAAAAATTTAAATACTTTATCTATTGAGCATTTATTAATATTATGTAAAAAAATGCAACATAAATTAGATGTAACTGAAGCAAAAATCAAAGATTTAACAGAAATGGAGAAAGAAAAGGAAAATGAAAAAAATGAAAAAAATGAAAAAAATGAAACATTAAATAATGTAATGTTAGAAAAAGACAAAATTAATAAACAGATGAATGAAACAAATGATATTAATGCATTCCATGAACAAATTAGGATGCATACACAAATTTTTTTAAAACAAATAACTATGTTAAGCTTATTAAGATTAGAATTAAAAAGAAGATGGTTAAGGATTTTATTTATATTAGAGTGTTTTTTATGTAAAAGCAAATCACATTGTTCTTTTGATTCAGCTCTTCGTGAATTTCCAAATGAGTTATTATTACCTGCTTTAAATTTTTGTTGTTCTATTATGCCAGATTGGGATGATAAAGAAATAGAAGATCAATTTTACGACATTATTGTTTCTAAATGTTTAGGAAATTGGTGTATGTTTATAAGTAATGATGAAGAATTAAAAAAGCAAATATATGCTTATAAAACAGCTATTGCAGATACGTGTGATGTTTTAAATAATTGCTTATTGAATATTGAAAAAATTCACTCTAATATTTATCCGAATATATATAATAAAGCTAATATTGATATAATGACTCATACAGAAAAAGTATTTAATAAAAATACAACATGTGAGGAAGAAAATAAAAAAGTAGATAATGATGAAGATATAAATAATAATTATATATTTTATGAATATAATACTCCAAATGAACATTTATTAAATTACTTCTCCTCTAATCAAGATGCATGGTATGAATATAAAGAATTATTAGAAAAGTTAGAAATAAATTCTTTAAGATGTGAAATATATATATGTGTATTGGGAGATTTATTAATGACTCATCCAAATTTAAATAATGATGAATTAATTATAGATGCTGTAGAAAACTTATGGAGTTATTTAAATGGAACTATAAATACAAGTAAATATATTCAATCTATTTGCTTAAGAGTTTGTTGTAAATTGTTGCTAACAGAATATTTAGGAAATCATATTTATAAATTATCTAATGATGAATTATTCAGTTTAATGAAAGCGTCGTCTTCTAAACTAAGAGCACTATTTGAAATGTGTTTCCTAATGTCTCCATCTACTTATAGCTGTATTCAAGACTACAAAAAAATTAGCACTTTTAATATTACTAATATTAACTCACATGATAAGATATTTTTATTTTCTATTTTTTCTATGTATCCATCAATGAGTGAAACTAATTTATTAATTTTTCATTATACTTTTGAAGAAGTTATTTTAAAAACATGTGAAGGAGTTTTAAAATATAAACTAAAAACCATCAATTTTACAAATATACTCACATTTATGATTTTCACTTTATTACATAAAGCCAATATCAACTTTTTAGTAGCAAATTTTGCAAAATATATAAAGTGGATTCTTCTTATTATCATAGAAAAAGGAATAGCGTTAACTAATAGATCTAACATAATAGAATTGATATATAAAGTGATTCAAATATACCTCTTTCATGATCTTAGTGATATTAATAGTTTAGAAAAGAAGAGGAATTATGAGACAAGAGAAGTTAAAAAGAGAGGAAGAAAAAGAAAAGTTAATCCATTAGAAGAAAAAGTTGAAAAAAAAGAAATAGAAAAGGATATTGAAAAGGAATTTGAAAAGGAAATGGAAAAAGAGATGGAAAAAGAAATAGATAAAGAAAAAGGTGAAAAGGAAAATGAAAATGATCTAGAAAAAGAGAAAAAAAATTATACTATATGTTTTAAAAGTGTTCAAACCAATGTAAACACTACTATTAAAGATTTAAAAATTCTTTTTGTGTTAGTTAATTTTTGTATGCATTCTTCTGATATCATTAGAGCAAAAAATGAACTGAAGTATTGTGAAATTATGAAGGAACAAATAGAAAAAAAAATAGAGGAAATAAAAAATTATTTTGTTAAGAAAAATTTTATTGTAACTGAAAATAATGATGAAAAAAGGGAAAATGAAGAAAATAAGAATAATGATAATTTATTAGATTTAAAACAAATTGATTCATTAACAGAAGATTCAATTTATCAAGAAATTATTGAAGATTATGCAAATTATATAGGAAAATTAAGTTCAAGAGATTTTTCATATCCAATAATACCAAGAGATTTAGATAATGCTAATGAAGGTGAAATGTCAAAACAAGAAATATTGGATCAGATTAATAATTCATGCACATATGATGAACCCGAAAATGATAATTCTCAGAAGATTATTAGAAAGAGAGGAAGAAAAAAAAAGAACGTTAATATAGAAAATGAATCGTTTAATGATTTTAATGAGAAAGATAAAGAATTACAAATAATGAATGAAAAAAAAATTAATAAATATAGTGAAAATAATATGACCATTAATGAAAATAACTCACTTAAAAGTAATATGGAAAATATAATACAAAATAAAAAAAAACAATTAACATATGAAAATGAAAATAAAGAAAATAAAAAAGATACAGAAAAAAAAAGTGACAATTTTCATAACACAATTAATACCAAAAGCAATATTAAAAATAAGTTTACTGAACTAAATTTAAGTTCAAGTGAAGAAACACAAAATAGAGATTGTAATTCTAGCTTAAATGATTATGAAAGTATGAAAAATTATACTGATTTAAATGATGAAAGTAGCAGTTATAGTAGTTTTAATAGCAATGATTCGACTGCAATTGCATTTAAAAGATTAAATAAGTTAAAAAGAACTAGCTATTCAAGTGTTGTTTCTAAATTTTAAATTTTATTTTAAAATTTTATAAAATTTATTTTATTTTATTTTATTTTATTTTATTTTTTTTTTTTTTTTTTTTCAATAGTGGATTTAAACGTAAAATTTATTTCAAACATAAAGGTTCTTTAAAATAAAATATATATGTACACTTGCATTATATATTTGTAGACATTTATTTTAATTTGTATTTATAAAAAAATCAAAGACAAATAAAAAATTTTAATAATATACAAAAAATTTTTTTAGAGTATATGTACTTCTATGTATATATATATATAATATTTTTAGATTCTTTTTTTATTAAATCAATTATCTATTGTTTTCATAATTTGATCAATAACTTGTATAATTGTTGGATCATTTATATAATGAGATAAATACGATATTTTATCATTTGACGATGTAAACTGCTTAAAAATTGAACGAACATACTTATTTTTTAGCAGTAACTTTAATTCTAAATCTTCTTTTAACTTATACTTTTGCTCTTCTGTAAGGATATTATCTTCTGTGTAATCTTCATTCGATTCATAGATTTTATTATTATTTAAAACATAAAAGTTATTATTTATTAAACTACCATGATTATCACTATTTGTATTTTTTATTTCATTTAATTTTTTTTTTTTTTTCTTACAACAATCTTTTTTATTATGTTTATTAAAGCATTGTAAGGAGCAATAATATTCATAACAACATGTAAATTTATACTTTTTTTCATTTTTTAAACATATAATACATAAGTTTTCATTATTTTTAACTTTTTTATTATTAAAAATGGAATCATTACAAATTTTTCTTTTCTTAATAATTGAATTATTGTTAATCATTTTTTCTAATTCTTTTTCATTTTTTAAAAGATTATTATTATTTAAGGATGAAAAATATTCTTTTTCGTTATCCTCTTCTATAGCTTCATCACATAAATATAAATCATTTCCAAAATTATCAAATGTTCTATCCACATTTAAGTAATTAATATCATGATAACTTACATTATTCTCAAAATTATTCGGATAATTTTCTAAATCGCAACTGTAGTTATATTCATATTCATCCATGTCTTCTTAAAATTTCACATATATTTTATAAGGATACAAAAATATATTAAAAAATGAACAAAAAAAAATTTTTATATTATTATTTATATATCATAAAAAAATAGTTCAACTTTTAAATGCGTATAGATGGAAAAGCTAAAAAATAAAAAAAAAATAGAACAAGTAAATTATTTCTACTAAATAGTGTTCTTACAATAAACATTAAAAATTCTATTTTTATAAACTAAAAATATAATTCTCATAAAAACTTTAACAAAAACAAAACTTTAAAAAAAAAGGTATTCAAATTATATTAAAAGAAAAAGAAGTTTATTTTCAACTGAAGTAATAAATACAATTTTTGCAAAAAAAAAAAAAAAAAAAAAAAAAAAAAAAAATAGTATTTGTTAATAATTTTAAATAGGAAATAAATTACAATTTTTAAAAATTTTAAAATTATTCTAACAAAATGATTCAAGTTTTTTTTTTTTTTTTTTAAGTGAAATTATATTTTATTTTTTATAATGTTTCACTTTAAAATTAATAAAAAATACATCTTAAAAAAAAAAAAAAAAAAAAA